TAAATATTTTATATTTAATTTTAAAGCACTTACTTTTTAGTCAACTTATTTGTTTTACGATTTATTGTAAAAAAAATTTTTGTAGTTTTATTAAACCTTAATTTAATTAGTATAAAATATATAAATAGAATCTAGTTTGTTCTTATTCCAAAAAAAAAAATTTTTTTTTTTCTTTGGCCGCCTAATTGGCGTTTATTTGTAGAATTGCTCATATGCTTGTCGTTATATGCTTATATTATATGCTTATTAATGTGGATTGACATTGTGACAGCCGAAGAATATCGAATGCATTTTTAGCATTATTGTACGGTGTCCATAAGCAGAGTGTTTCAAATTTTGTTTCAATTTATTTTACAAAAATTCATTTTATTGCTGAAATCTATGAAAAAAGAAATGCATTTAATTTTAAACAAAAATGAGTTATAATTATTGAAAAACCTAACAAGCAAAAAGTAAATAGCCTTTCCAGCAGCGTGACTCATCAAAGAGAGGGTTTTTCAGGGTTTAACCCTTCCTCCCCCCTAAGAATTGCAAGCAAGGCTTTTTTTCAAGGTTTTTGTAAATTATCAATTTGATTATCTGGAATTTATTTATATCGAAAGAAAACTGATCTTGAGACTAATGTTTATTTAAGTAGGGAAGTTAAGTATTATTTTTCATTAAGTAAAGAATCTCTAAGCAGAATCTAATATTATAATATAAAATATTATCAGAGCAGTTTCAATAGGCTTTTTCTTTTCTTTGAACCCATTTCATTTTTCAGAAAGCGAATCCACTATGTGGGAGGGAGGCAAACTATTTTGAAAACAAAACAACTCTAAAGGAAGGGAATTAAGCAGAATTGATACAGCTGCCCATTGTCCATTACATTATTCATCAGTTTCTTTCATTAAGTGAAATGCAACTTCGTGCATTTTTCATGTGGTAAAACATGTCTTTGCTTAATGCTTTTATTAAATTTTAGTCCGCAATATTAGATTAATATAATTAGAATACAATCCTATGCAATATAAATGGAAGAAAATAATTGAATTACTTTATTTCATTATTCTGCCTTTATTATATGTCTAATTATAAAATTAGCATAAAAGAGGAGGGGAAATATTTCTGACATAACATCGTTTTTTACAAGAAAAAAAGTAACGCTCAAAATGAGATTAAAAATACTGATAGTCAGAGAAAACAGGCAAAAATTTTGGATTTCTTTTAATGGCATTTAAATTTAAAAAAAGATTTTAGAAAATACTTAGATAAATTATGAGAAGAATGATTAAAAAATGAATTTAGTGGAGCATTCGAGAAAAATCAAAATTGGTGCACCGGTAAATATGTTTTTAGCCGGGCATATTAATAAAAAGCCATTAAGAACTTCTTAAAAATATTACTTGTGCCTTAGTTTTCGTCATTTTATTAGCTATTCAAATCATTAATAAGTTGAAATAAATTTGTCATTGGAAGAACTAAGTCCCGCACTGATAGACAATGATAATATTCCTGCAGATTTCAAGCGAACAACTTTTTTTTGGATGGATTTTCAAATAATGCCAAATTCATAAAAGTTACTACCGAAAATCAAAATTAATAACGGCAGAAAATAGGGATGAAAATAATACCCTAGAAAAGATTTTATGATTTGGATGAAAATATTACGGATGAATTCATTTTGTGGAGTCAATTTGCGGCATCTTGTGATAAAAAAAGGTCGAAAATTTGCACTAACTTTCGATTTTTGCACTTTCGAAAATTTGCACTTTTGTTAATTTTACTTCTTGCGTATTTCACGATATCTCAAGAACTTTTTATACAAAAATTTTCGCATACAATTATAAAATTCATTTATTCAATGATAAGCAAAAAAAAAGCTTCTAATAATTATTTATTATTTATTATTATTTCAATTAAGAATAGTAGAAAAGGTTTTGAATTTTAAGATATACACATTTTTATATTATCTCAAAGAATGCTTTTTTATATGGTAAAATTTTCGCGAAATCGATTGAATAATTCCTAAGAAATTTAATTTTAAAAAAGTCGTAGAATTAAAATTTGATTTCTCGGGTACTTTTTGATCAATTTGGTGCAAGTTTTATATTAAATTATATTCTTTAAAACATAA